GCACTCGCGACACTGGTTGGTCTTGGCCCGGATGAGCGTTGCCCCATGTGCCAACCATAGTGTGCTCCCTTCTTGGAGTAGGACTCGTACAGGACCAACCCAATGACCTGTTGTTTTGCCAGGTTTGATCCTCTGTCTCCACAGCATCGCCAGGGATCCAACTTTGAAGGATTGAGGCGATCTTCCAAGGGCATTGTTGAGGCGGGACAGCTTGTACTTGGCATGCTCTTGTTCGAAAGCTATCCTTGCCTTCTCTTTGAGCTTCAGTTGTCCTCCAAAAGCTTTCTTGGGATCCAATCCTGATGGAAGCTCTTCCTGAGGTGGTGCACCTCCGCGAACCCATTGGAAGGGTGAGAAACCACTTGGTCCGATGGTGTGGTTGGCGCCATGTGCTGCTAGAGCGAAGGCATGAGCAATGGTCAACTCAGGCTCCTCCTTGAGTAGTCGTCTCACTGAAGACTTCAGGGTGTTGATGCATCCCTCCTCAGCTCCCATGATCCAATGCGCTTCAGCCGGCGCAGTCATCACTCCGATGCCTGACCGAGAGCAGAAATCTAAAAAGGTCTCTGACGTAAATTGTGGTCCAGCATCGCTGATGATCCAGGATGGACTCGGGTTCGTCATCAACCATTTCAGAAAGCTGTTGACCACGTCTTGGGCCGTTGGCTCCCATCTGCTCTTGTATGTCTTGAGGTGGTCAGTCATCACGAAGCCGCTCGCTCGATCTCTCCAGATCAGGAACTTGTCCTTCTCCTTGTCCTCGCCCCGGTCATACTCGAAAACGTCCACTCCGACAATCTCGAAGAGCTTGGGAGTGTCCGTTGTGGATGCCGGTGGATGCAGCAGAGGCTTCCGAGATTCGATGCAATCTGGGCACTGAAGATTTCCAGCTAGTGTCACTGCCCATTCAGGTGCCTTCCTTGCTCGTAGCAAGCGCTGCAAATTCCCGAATGAAGAATGCCCCGAGGATCGATGTATCCTCATCATCTGCTGCTTCACCAGTTCGAGTTTTCTCCCTGAGGGCGCTTCTTTTGGGAACTGATTCCTTGAGAGAGCAAACATCTCGGGCTCTTCTTTTCTCACCATCATCACATTCTTCTCCTCCTTGTCTTCGAAGGTCTCTGGAATCTCCAGGAGGTAGGTCTCGATGTCCTTGGTGATGGATGTGTCAGCCCGTTCCTCACTCGCATGCCAGGATCCCACTATCGCCTTTGTCACGGCCGTCACCATCTTCGATGGGTAATATGCTGAGGCCTGAGCTGCCGGTCCACGGCATTCTGCGTGATCTCCATGGCCAGGACATTTCTTCTGAAGGCTCATCCACAAACTCCGATTGGAGGTCAAAACTGTCCAGTTCTTTTGAATTGGGATGCCCTTGTACTCCAAACCATAAGCGCAGCCGTGGAATCGACACCAGTAAACTGGTCTTCCGAGCTTCTTCATCACCCTCAGTAGGCGTCTGATCGCCTTGGAGTTCCACCCTTTCGAAGCTCCTGTGGGCCATTCCCAAGCAAAATCGGAGTCTTCTCTTGCCTCCAAGCTCATCTCCACCGCCTTGGCTACCTCATCAGCTCTCTTCAAGTCTTGTCCTTGCCGCCTTTCGAACTTGCCCCACTCTTCCTCAGATCTTGGAGTGAGGTTCTGAAGGGTTGACAGCCTGGTGCATGGAAGAGAAATCCAGCTCATCCGTGGCGGATGCGTTTGGAACTCCAGGCTCAGCATCTTCGTGCCCATCTTGCGGTCAAGGTCGTAGCCGCTGAGGTAGTTATACCTTTTGCAATGATAACCCATCTCTTCCATCCTCGAGGTCAATGCCGAAGTTGGAGAACATGCCACTTCCACAAAATCGGGGGCTTGAGAGAGATGCCCCATGAGCCCTTGGACCGGACAGGTCAAGCAGGCTCCCAAGACAGCGACCCCAGTGGCGATCTTCTTGGCCAGGCCAGGCCATACGATGTTCTTCTTGGATTGGGTCTTGTCGTCTGCCTTGATCGAATTGATGCCATGCCGATGAACTTGGGCATGAGCTATGGCCTCCTCACAGGTGCCATGTCGTGTGACCATCATAGGTTTCCCATCATCAAATGGATAGGGCCCCAACGAAGCGTCCGGGTCGTGGTTCGTAGTGCTCGTGGTGCTCGTGGTGGTATTGTCGTGTGCCGCCATGGCCTCGGGGGCGACTCCCTTCTCACATGCCTTCCGGCTTCTCTCCATTGTCCTCCTCAGGACCCAGATCCGGTCCCATAGCCCTCCTTGCCGTCGTCCTTCTTCTCGGCTGCTTCCTTCTTGGTCTGGATCGGCAGGGCTGATGGTGAACCCGGCACCGTCTCCTTCTCGCTGTCGCTGGGGATCGTGATCACTCCACTGCCCAGGGCCTGACGGGCCTCCTCCGCCATCTGGCCAATGCGACGCTGCTCCTGGTTGGCCCGTCGCGCCTCTTGTCCCAGCAGTTCGGTCCTGCGCATTGCCTCTGTGGCCAGCTCCTCGGCTCTCTCCGCTCGACGCCTCAGCTCGTAGTTCTCCGCCTCCAAGTAGGCTCGAGTCTCCACTGCATCCATCTCCTTTGGATTTGATGACGTTGCCATTGACTTGGCCGCCGCCTTTGCAGTGATCCTCGCCGAGTGCTCCTGAGTGATCTGGGTGACCGACTTGCCATCTGCTCGACCATGTTGCTCGATCCTCTTCATGTAGTCCGTGTAGGTCATGTTGATGGCCATGGTCTGACTCACCCCCAGCTGCAGCATCTTTCCTTTGATCTCCATCAGCTTCCCATTGACCATCTGCTCGGTGCAATGGTCGGGTAATACTGTCTGCTGCAACTCCTCCAGCGCAAGCCGAATGAGATGTGGCTCCGGCCCCATCAATCGTCTCTCTCCATGGCTCTTGTCCTTGGACATGTAGAGCGTCCGCAGTCCGCACTTGGCGCAACTCACCCATGTGGCGAACTGGTTCGTTCGCTGGCGGCCCTCCTTGTGGTCCCCAAAGCAGGGATAGCCAGAGTGCCTTGGATCGTCGCATGCCGTTGGTGCCCGGGTGGTCATGTCCAAGCGTGCGGTGAACCTGCAAATCACGAAGCCTTTGGGCCAGACACTGCAAACGGCTTGAGACATCCTGGGACTGCTCACATGATCCAACAGGCAAATGCTCCAAACTTTCAGTTGACATCATCAACACTTGAGACTCCACTCGATCGGTTTCCGAGGTTGAGATTGGCGCCTCCTGGGTTGAAGTCCGCTCCATGGCATAGATTGGAGCCTCAGCCAAATCAATCGTGAGATGTCCTGACTGTAGGGCTTGCATCTGCACTGAACGACTTGTCTGTTGTGCCTGTACTGTATCAATGTCACCATCATGAAACTTGATTCGACCATCTTGGTATGACAGAACTGCATGTTTGCCACGAAGTGTTCTTGCTCCAATGAGTGGCGGTGTTGCTTTGGCCATTCCTCCCAACACATAGAATGAGATGGCTCCCAATGAGGTCCCAACCAAGTCTGCTCTGCTGACTGCCTGATCGCGGTGTCCGTTGCCAAATCTGAAAGTCGGTAAATCCTCTTTGCAAACTGTGTATTGGAAATGACCATGAACCACCAAATCATGCAGTGCGTCAATCCCGATCGCGTTCTCCGTCGCCCCAGTGTCCAAAATCGCCCTGGTTGGTGCTCGACCGTGTGAGGTGTGTTCATCCCACTGTGCCAACACTCCCGACAAGAAATAGGTCTTGCCCTTGGACGACTTGGAACCTTTCCCGGAGAAACCCTTGCCATAGCCCTTTCCTTTGAAGCTGCTCTTCCCTTTTGCACCTTTGCCAACTCCAAATGATTTGCCCTTTGGTGCAAATCTGTCCGGACACTGTTGATAGCCGTGTCCTGACATTCCGCAGATGAAGCAGGGTCCATGATGGGTCTTCGATCCACCCTTGGACGATGGTGAACTCGGCTTCGATCCTGTCTTCGCCTTCCCCTTGCCAGAGCTCGACTCAGGAGCGTAATACCCCCGAGCCAACCGCACTTTGCGGACTGCCTCACGGGCTTCCTTGAGGGTTCGGTTCGCCTCGTTGGCAATGGCGAAGGCCTCTGACAACTGTGCTTCCTCCGGATCAGCTGATGTCTCATCAGGATACAGGTCTTCGTCTTCAACGTACCATGCGTCCTGCCACCAGTCCTCGGTCCAGTCTTCGCCTGTCCAGTACGTCGGACTGCCATCATCATCTTGATGCCATTCGCTCCAAGCCCAGTCTGACCACCAGAGATCGTCCGACGGTCCTTCAATGTCATCTTCATCATACCAATCCTGTCCAACAAAACTGTCAGTCCACCAAATCCGCTTTGCTCCAACTTGCTGTCTCTCCGAGGTCTCGTCATTGTAGAGTGTCCTCAAAGCTCTTCTCACAAGATGGAAGCTGGTGGAGTTGGCTGTTTGTACCAAAACGTTCTGTCTCTCATGGCCGCTCAAACGACATGCCCGCAACAATCTGTAACCTCTCAACTCATCTTCAAAGAAATCTCCTGATGCAGTCGTCGCTGTCGAATGGATTGGGCCAGCTGAGGGAAATGTTTGGGTTCCCAAATCACGTCCCCTCTCTTCTCCAGCTCGATTTCCTGACATTGGGCTCCTCGATGGCGTTGATGGTGGGTCAACACGAACAGCAGGTCGGGTTGGAAGAAATTCCTGTCCCGGTGACATCCTGTCCAGCCTTGCTCTAGCCAATGACTGTTGGAGTTCTGTAAACAGTTCTTCCTCCCGGACTATCAGTTCGGCCACCGTTTCGCGATCTGTTCGCTTGAGATTGCTCCACTTGTCCAGCCTATTGAAACTGTCTGGAACGGGTAGACGTTGAAGTGGGCTCTCACGGAGCAGTGCCAAAAACTGATTTAACCCGTCCTCATGATCAAGCTGTTCGCGATCAGCATATCGAACTATCGACTTCGCAGCACCTGACAGCTTTCCCCAGAGTCGGGCCACCACCAGTTTTCTCTCACTCTCCTTGGTGCCCTTCGAATACCATTTGCAGGCTGTGACGTACGATTCGAACGTTCCTGGAGAACCATCCCAGCTAGGAACAGGATCGCGGTCCTCTGGCATCGGTTGCCGGGGTATTATTGAGCCCCCCGGCCTGGCTCCGCTACCATGCACGACGGAATTGCCACCTACCGGCAACTAGCAAACAGCGCACCT